AAGCTATTCAAAATAATACCAAAGAAGTGAAACTACCAAGCAGAAAAAAAATCTTAAAACCCTGGATAACCCCTGGGATATTAAGATGCACTAAAAATCGCAACAACTTGTATAAGAAAATAAAGAAAAATCCTGAAAATGAAGTCCTTAAAACTACCTACAAAAGGTATCGTAATTTCTGTTCGACTCTCTTAAAAAAAATTAAAAGAGATTTTGAGAAACTCCAATTTCAAGACGCAGGTAAAGATAGTAAAAAGATTTGGAAAATCGTTAAAGAGGTTACTGGTGTGAAAAAATCCAAAAACAGTTAACTAGATTTAATAAACACATGTGACCCACAAACATCAGTAAATCACGTCAACAACTACTTTGCAAGTGTTGGAAAAACGCCAGCTGAAAATATCCAAAAAAAATAACCTACAAACAGAATATATCACTGTAAGTTCATGCCGTCATTCTTTTACTCTTCTTTTCACTGATGATGATGAAGTCAGGACATTAATAGCAGGCTTAAAAAGTGAGTTCTCGGTTGGGCTGGACGGAATATCTAGTGACATTTTAAAGACAAATACGCTTATTCTAGTATCACCGATAACGTACATATGTAATCTGTCTCTTACAACCGGAGTATTTCCAAAAATCTATAAGAAATCACGAGTTCATCCAATACATAAGAGTGGTGACAGAGGCTGTGTCAATAATTATAGACCTATCTCCATTCTCCCTACTCTCTCAAAAATACTAGAATGCATTATTAACAATAGACTAGTTAAATATTTGGAAAATAAAAATCTATTGTCACAAGCACAATATGGTTTAAGAGCAAAAAGATCCACAGCAGATGCAGTATTGGATCTTACTAGCTACATAGTCAACAACTTAGACACTAAAAAGAAAACTATAGGATTATTTTTGGATTTAGCCAAAGCGTTTGACATAGTTTCTGTCCCTATCCTGCTAAAAAAACTTGAGACCATCGGTGTCAGGGATCTACAACTGAAACTTATACAAGATTACTCGACTGATAGAACTCAATGTGTAAAAATCGGTAATACAATCAGCGAAGAGATACCCATCAACTTTGGTGTTCCTCAGGGCAGTATTCTGGGTCCGACCTTGTTCTTAGTGTACATTAACGATCTCTGCACGATTGAGCTTCCAAATACAAAGATCGGCACGTTTGCAGATGATACTGCTGTACTCTTTTGTGGCAATTCATGGAACGAAGTATTTTTAAATGCCCAGAGAGGAATGAATACCGTTATAAAATGGTTAAATAAAAATATGCTCACATTAAATGTCGCAAAGTCTACTTATATAACGTTCTCAACCAAATCCAATGACGCACCTGATCCCTCCCTTCGTATAATCTCACATTCATGTCGTAATGTCAATGATACAGACTGCTCATGCCCTGAGCTTAAAAATACTGCATCAACCAAATATTTAGGCGTAATCATTGGCAGAAATCTAAAATTTAATGAGCACATCAATCTTCTTGCTGCGAGAGTATGCAAATTAATAGTTTTGTTTAAAGCTTTAAGACAAGTTGCCCCAAAAGCTGTCATTAAATCTGTGTACTATGCCCTCTGTCAATCTCAGCTTACGTACTGCATCACCTCCTGGGGTGGCGCATGTAAAACTAGCTTCCTTAAAATTGAGAGAGCACAAAGAGCCCTTCTGTAAGTAAGCTTGTTCCTACTTTTTTACCACGCAACGGTCGACCTTTACAAAAAATCAGAAGCTTTGACAGTGCGACAACTTTATATATTGCATACCGTGATTAAACAACATTGTGTAACAACATATGAACCGGAAAAAAACCGACACAAGGGTCGTAAGGATAAAGATTGCCCTGTACGTTTTTTTGGTTACCAAGGTCCAACTTTATATAATAAATTAAATAGGGCGCTAAGTTTATATCCCTTACCAAAAACAAATGTAAGTTTTTGACTATGAACTGGTTACAGAAACTAAATTACAATTTATTTATTTATTACTATTATTTACAGACACCTTAATGCTAACAGAACAATCCATGCGCAGAAAGTGATTATGGACTTACAGTATCATTACATTGTAAAATAAAAAGCATTCAAGTCGTAAAACAGAAAGTAGGTAACATTGCAATAAGAATTCATCAGCATAGTATAAAATTGTAAAAAACAGTTCATATTTGGACACAAACGTAATAAATTCGTGGAAATCTATCTGCGCCAGCAATGTTGGATTATATGTAAAACCACGTATTAAGCGGAAGACATATGCTACCAGAGCTAGGTTACGACGTACCGCCAACATACGATAGTCGACCGTCCCTATAACATATAATGTGGGGTACAAATATGGATAGTAATAATACAATCGTTTAAATAGGTATCTAACGAAAGACTTCTGCACCTTCGTCACCTGCAGTACATGTTGGGCCTGATATGGATTCCACACTAAAGCATTCGTCTCCAAGGTACTTCGAACATACGCATTAAATAAGACACTCAGTGTTAGTTTGCTGTTAAAGCGATTGGATTGTCTTAGAACAAATCCGAGACTTTTCCGAGCCTTTTTACACATTTTATCAAAATGGTCGCGAAATGTCATTTGAGTATCGAACCAAGTACACAAATCCTTCACTGTCGTCGCTCATCGCAAGACGGTTTGCGATATTGTGTAATTCTCGTGAATGAGAGAACGGGCCCGACCATATGACACCACAACACACTTGTTAATGTTAAGGTTTAAACTGTTTAGGCGGCCCCAATTACATACAGTATCAATATCGGCCTGTAACAGAGCGCAGTCAGAGGTGGTGGCAATCGGCCGCGCTAATTTAACGTCATCGGCGAACATCAAGCAGGTACTATTTTGAACTTTAGATGGTAAATCATTTATTATTATTAAGAATAATAATGGGCCAAGACAGCTACCTTGACCTATACCTGAGTAGATGCTATATTCTTCAGATTTAGAATTGCTGTATAAAACATACTGTTTACGATTTGAAAAGTAGTTTGAGAAGAAACATATGAGATTTTCCGAAAAACCTATGTTCGCCATCTTGGTAAGCAGCACATCATTATTTATCTGATTAAATGCCTTTTGAAAATCAAAATACGCCACGTCCACCTGTTTCCTCGCATCAATTTCATTTGAAATCATCATTGTAATATGTAAGAGGTTTGATGTGGTCGATCGGCCCGGCAAAAAACCGTGCTGTTGGTCACAGAACCATCCTCGTAGCTGATTGTATATGAGATTGTATAATATAGATTCCATTACTTTACCGAAGACCGATAAAACTGCTACTGCACGATAATTGTGTATCACCCATGGAGCCACTCTTGTGTATGGGTAGAACTTTGGTTGTTTTCCATACAGAAGGATATATATGATGTTTGAGACATAAGTTAAATATATGTAGAAGTGGATTCGCGAAAACTGCATAGCAGTCGCGAACAATTATCTGAGGTACCCCATCGGGACCCTGGGTGAATTTGGGTCGCAGTTTTTTTAGAGCGTTTAATACGTCACGTTTTTCTATGTAGTCTACTTGAACGTGAACATCAGGTCCGGTACATGCATGATGTAAGTTTAGGGCGGCTGTCATCGCAAAGCGCGGGTCCACTACGGGCGCACTGGACAAAAACACACTGCTGAAGAACGCGGCAAAAGCATCAGCCACTTGTTGCGAGTTTAACATGCCAAATGTTGAAGGTTCATTTGACTTCCTAGTCTGTTTAATAAAGGACCAAAAAGTATTTGGGTTATATAAAATACTATTTTCAATTTTTCTAAAGTGGGTATATTTGTTTTTTTTCTGGTAAAGATTTAAATTGTTTTCTATGATAACTAAAAAACGCTTAATATAATTGGTTTTTATTCGACATTTTGTATGTTTTGTGGAAGAAGTTTTTTAAATGTAAATAATATAGTAATTCGCGATTGTACCATTCAGGATATTTATTAGGTGTATTTGATGGTTTAGTGTAAGGGACAAACTTCTCAAAGGTATTATTTATTTTATCGTACATGTAAGACACGGCTTGATTAGGGTCTGTTGTCTTATATATCGGTGACCAATCAATGAGAGATAATTGTGAGTACAGTTCGCAATCATTTGCTTTTCTAAAGTTACGGAAACGTATAGGATTTTCTTTGTTTATATCTTGGGTTCGAGACGTGCGGGTAGGTAGGTAAAATCTATTTATATTCACTGTAATTTGTAATGGAAGGTGGTGAATTTCTGATTCAACAAGACTCACCTTGGATACCGAAACAGTGGGCGCTACATGATCCGCACAACTTAAAACCAAGTCAAGTACTCGGTTGAGATCATTGTTGATGGTGTTATGTTGAGTAAGGTTACATATAGATAAGAATAATTTATAATCCTCGCGCACTGACTGTGGGACCGAGTACAGATTAAAGTCCCCTACTACTATTACTGGTGTTGTTTGCATTGATATCAAAGTTTCTATACAGTTAAAAATAGAGTAGTATCTTGCGTTTGGTATTTTCGGTAGTAGATAAACAAAACAACAAATACAGCGATATTTGCCAAGACTTATTTGGCCGGCGACAAGTTCATCCTCCGGTGAGCACTCCAAGCTCACCTTGCGCAGTTGGTATGGCTGGCGCACTGCTAGTAGCACTCCACCTCCCCTATCGCCTTGTCGGTCGCAGCGCAAAACAGAGTAATCAGGCGTGAACAACTCGGAATCATAAACGCTGTCGTCTAAGTTTGTTTCTGTGAGTGCCAATGTGTGGCCAGGAAGTTCGCTTAGCGCAGCCTTTATTTCATCCGTTCTACTTTTTACACCCCGAACGTTTTGGTAGTATATTTTGCTTATTAACGTTTTAGGCTTCTCTTTGATTTTGGGTTCGAAAGGAATGACTAACATTTTTTGTACGATTTCGTGAAGTGTACCATTGCTGAATCGATGTTCCCGCCGGCCAGTTACCCGGACACATTAGAAACTTGAAATATTCACCATATCCTCCTATTATAAAACAGTTGTGGTTTTCGTGGGTAGGGTCTGGTTTTTTGATTGTAAAATCTGAGTCTGGTTGTTTCTTTTTAAGATATATTGAGATCTTTTCATCACATCTGGGTGAAAATTCCATACATGAACATATTTTGCTGGTTCAATAGTCAGTAATTCGGTGTCTGCTTCACCTGTCGCTCTTATTACAGAACGACGGAAACGACGAGGTTGTGTCCATGCTGTAAAGCGTTCGATTCCATTATCTATCCCTTCATCCGATTTATGAATCACGACTGAAGAATACTCAGATGTAACGTTCGCCACATCTGCGTAGGTCGATTTCATGGCCCCACACGTCGTCATTGCAACGGGTAACTCTCGGGCGCCGTCGGGTGCCTTCGGTTCGTCTTCGTTGTGCGCACGAGTCTTTCTAGCTTCAACAGCGCTCGACGGTTTTTGTTTCTTCGTTGCTTTACCGCTGATGGCTTCAACGGCTTTTAGACGAGCTGGGCGCGTTAAGCGCTGTAAGGGCTCGGTATCAACAACTTCAGTGTCGGCGTTTGTGAGGGTAATAAATGCCGTTTCACCAATTGAAGGTACTTGATGGTTAGGTGTAACTGATTTTAGTTGAGAGATAATTACATTTTGCTCACTTATTTTTGTTTCAAGTTCACCAACTTTAATCACAAGCACGGATATCTTTATATATATAATTCTTCTGTGGGTGTGTATGTCACTGAACTTCTCTCAAACGACTGGACCGATTTTGATGAAATTTTTTGTGTGTGTTCAAGGGGATCTGGGAATGGTTTAGGTTCACAATTTTGAATGGTAAGGGTGACCCATCCCTAATTTGTTTTTTTGTTGCAATACAACGTTTGCCGGATCAGCTAGTTGTTTTATGTAACTATGTAGTGTATATGTGTATGTAGTATGTATTATATATTTAAATTGTAAATAAACACGGAGCACAAGTATTGTGTGTGTAATATTTAAAGTATATATAGTATAGTATTATAGTATAGTAATTGTACAGAAAACCTACTCCATTCAAATTGACTCAAACACTTTATTGCACAGACACGCACACACGCACGCACTCTCACACGCACGCACGCACGCACACACGCACGCGCACATACACACACACACGCAACACACACCAACAATACACTTCATCCGACACGTTTTACTCTACACATCAAACACTTTCACAGATATCCACACACTTACTCTTTTCATAAGTACTTATAAACTCGTTTGTTATAATACACCGGTCAACAATGTATCTGTATGTCCGTGGGGTGAGGACCTGGTGATTTGTAACACAGGCATTCCATGCCCATCACAGACACCAGCTCTTCACATATGAAAACTAGTCTAGACTGTGTAAATGTAACTAGCTATAAGTATACCATTGTGAAGAGAATAATTATTATTATTATTATATTTCAAATTATGACAATCAATTATTATTCTGATCTTTACAACAATAACCACGAATCAAACATAAAAAAATCGGTGCTAATCGGGCTCAAAAAATACATCAGACATACTCACCTTTGCATTTACCTTTGCACATATGATTTACACTAACCCTGAACGTAACACATTGGGCAACTCAATGGGATTTCCCGAGCCACATGAGGCTGAGATTAATGATGTAATCGTTGGCTTGCTTGGTGATTCAACGATGAGTATTGATGAAATTCCGTCCGCGGCAAAAAAAGCTGCAAAGCACCTACTCGTTCCCCACATAACGCATGTGTGCAATCTTTGCATAACAACCAGCACTTTCCCTGATATCCTCAAAAGAGCGGTAATAAGTCCAATCCACAAGAGTGGAGAAAGAGACAGTGTCACCAACTATAGGCCTATTTCAGTCTTCACTGCGGTTTCTAAGATTTTGGAGGTCTTGAATCTTATTTCTTATCAACTTATCAACTACCACGAAAAAAACGAACTTTTCGCAAAAACTCAATTCTTCCTCCCTAGTTATTAGTTACATCACTAGTTGTTAAGATATAAAACTGATTCTTTAGAAAATGGTGGACGTGTTTTATTTAACAAATAACATAAAACGACCGACTGACCGGGCACACAAAATGGTGTCAAAAGTGGGATTTGTGCCAGCCCCGCCGTTCCCGTCAATGAATTTTACCGGAAACCTAGCAGAAAATTTCAAAACATGGGTGCAACGATTTCGTATATACTTGGAGGCTAACGGTTTGGATGAGGTGGGTGAAAAGCGCAAAATAAGTATACTATTGAATTGCATCGGTGAAAAAGGTATTGAAATATATAATACCTTCAATACATCAAGTGCTGAAAAGCTGGACACTGTCATAGAGAAATTCAAAGAATATTTTAATTTTAATGATAGTAAACTGTCTATAGACTATATTATGAAGTTTTTGCTTAGTGCAGAAGCATCAAGAATATATTTGCAAAATGAAGAGCAGCGTAATTCACATCAAACAATGGATACAAATGAGACAGAGGTCTTGTATTCAAGTGACAAATACAAAAAGCGACCAAATCAAATTAAAAAACTTGTGAGAAGCTGCAGAAACTGTGGACAAACTCACCAAATTAATCAGTGCCCAGCATATGGCAAAACATGTTATCACTGTCAGAAAATGAATCATTTTAGTAAATTGTGTCGCAGTTCACAGGTTCAAAGGAAACAAGTGAATGTAGCGGAGACTCTTAATGAGGCTGATGAAGCAAGTCCTGATTTCTTTATTGGAGTGTTGACAACAACAGGTAATGAGATTGTTCAGGATTTTGAGATTAACAACAAGAAAATTTTAGTTAAAATGGATACAGGAGCGACTTGCAATATAATAGGAAAAGAGGTATGTAAAATGCTTGGTATCAAGAAATCAGAAATTCATTCATGTAATAAAAAAGTTATACAATTAGATGGCAAAAGTGTGTCTGTATGTGGAATGTGTACGTTAGAAATCATAAACCCAAATAAAAATAAATACAAAGTTCAATTTATTATTCTTCAGGGAGAAGTTCCTACTCTATTAGGCTGTAGAACATGTCTAGAACATAATTTTGTTGCAGCAAATACTGATCTTGTAAATGTAAATAATGTAAGTTGTTCTACTAATGATAATGTGTCAGAATTGATTGGAAATATTAAAAACAATTACGGTGAGCTGTTCGATGGAGGTCTTGGTTGTCTACCTGGCACAGTAAAAATACAACTTAGTGATGACGCTGTTCTTGTTATCCAAGCTGCTCGGCGGGTTCCATTCTCATTGCTGCCTGAGCTTCGTGAGGAACTGGCTAGGATGGAGAAATTAGAAGTTATAGTGAAAGTGGACAAACCGACAAAATGGGTAAATAATTTAGTGCTGGTACGGAAACCAAATAATAAATTACGGATATGCTTAGACCCTCGAGCTTTAAATAAATATGTAATACAACCTAAATTTCAATTACCGACACTAGACGAAATAAAAAGTAGAATGCAAAATGCAAAATATTTTGCTCTACTCGATGCATCAAATGGATTTTGGATGCTAAATTTGGATGAACAAAGTTCAGATCTATGCACATTCATAACTCCTTTTGGGAGGTACAAGTTTAAAAGGTTACCGTTTGGAATCAGCTCTGCTCCTGAAGAATTCAGTAGGATAATCACTCAAATGTTTGAAAATGTAGAAGGAGTTATTCCATACATCGATGATCTGTGTATTTGGGCTGAGTCAATTGATGAATTAAATGAAAGAATAAACAAAGTTTTAAATATTGCATCTAAAAATGGAATTAAATTCAATGAAAGGAAATGTAAATTATTTGTGTCGGAACTTCTTTTTGTGGGTCATTTGTTCACTGCTAATGGGGTTTCTCCAGATCCAAGCAAGGTTCGGGCAGTAATGGATATGGAACAGCCAAAATGTAGAAAGGACCTAGAAAGGTTTTTGGGTATGTGCAATTATCTGTCTCGATTCATTCCTAATTATTCCAACCTAATTGAGCCATTGAGAATCCTTATGAAAAAAGATGTTGTGTTTGCTTGGGACATCAACCAGGAACAATCATTTAGCATGTTAAAACAAGCTTTATGTAATATCCCCTGTTTAGCATATTTTAATACCAATCAGGACATTGTTTTGTCAGTAGATAGCTCCTCCACTGCAATGGGGGCAGTTGTGATGCAATGTGGGAGACCAATTGCATTCGGGTCTCGGGCTCTTACTAATACAGAACAAAATTATTGTCAGTTAGAGAAAGAAATGCTTGCCATTGTATTTGGTTGTTATAAAATGCATCAATACACCTATGGGCGTAAAGTACATGTGGAGTCTGATCATAAGCCGTTAGAAACTTTATTTAAAAAACCATTATATAAAGTACCAGCACGTTTACAAAGAATGATGCTAGCAGTACAGGGTTATAATTTAGATGTGAAATACAAACCAGGCAAACAATTATTAATTGCTGATACATTGTCAAGGAGTTGTCCAAAGAATGTAGAATGTAAACTAACTGATTTAAATGAAGGGATAGTTTGTCATGTTAAATTACATAGAGATAGTTTGCCTATATCAAAAGCACAATTAATAAAAATTCAAAGTGCCACACAATCAGATCCTACATTGCAAACTGTTATGTATTTTGTAAAAATGGATGGCCAAAGAACTTTAAAGATCTCAATTATAATGTCAAACAATTTTGGACATTTCGAGATGAATTAGGATTAATTGATGGAATAATTCTTAAAAGTAATTTAATTGTTATACCAGAATCTTTAAGAAAAGATATGTTGCATAATATTCATCAAGGACATGCAGGCTTGAGTACTTGTAAAATAAGAGCTAGATCTTGCGTTTTTTGGCCAGATATAAATAAAGATTTAGAAGTATATGTACGACAGTGTACTCCCTGTGCTAAATACAGACCTAATATCCAAAAAGAACCGCTTATTCATCATAGTGTAGAGAAGATACCTTGGCACAAAATTGGAATTGACATATGTACTTTAGACAAAACAGACTTTCTTGTATTATTAGACTACTACTCAAAATTCCTTGAAGTGTGTAAATTAGATAATTTGTCAAGTGACTGTGTAATTACTAATTGTAAATCTATTTTTGCAAGACATGGAATACCGGCTTATGTAGTAACAGACCCTGGTACTCAATTCACCTCAGAACAATTTAAGAAATTTGCTAATGTTTATAATTTCATTCATGTGAAAACAAGTCCAAAGCATTCACAATCTAATGGACAGTCAGAAAGTGGAGTAAAAATTTTTAAAAATATAATGAAAAAATGTACAGAAGATGGGTCTGACCCATACCTTGGGCTTCTGAACTATCGAAACACTCCTAAGTTATATATGCCATCTCCTGAACAGTTGTTGTACTCAAGAAACCTAAATTCACTATTGCCTTTCTCAAAAAATAAATTAAAACCCAAAATAATGTCCTATGGAGTAAAGTATGATAATCATATTAAGAATGTAAAAAACTACTATGATAAAAATGCCAAACCTCTATTAAAATTAAATTAAATGTAGGGCAGAAAGTTTTTTTTAAAAAGACATTAGATTCTAATTGGATAAAGGGGACAATTTAAAAAAAATGTGATGAGCCTCGTTCATATCTGGTGGTGGATGAGAAAGGAATAACTTATAGAAGAAACAGAAAATATTTGATGCCTTATATTGAACCTAAAAATTATACTGTAAATAAAAAGACTAATATGAATAACATTGACAGATTTGGTGACTATGGACCTGATGTGTCGTTACCTAATAAAGTTGTATCTGTGCCTGAGTCAAACGTGATATCAGGACCTGATAATGAATATTTAAGAAATGTTTGTACTGATAATATTGTTAAGGAACAAAATGATACTGATGTATGTGTAGAGAGAAACATTGTGCATTTAGAAGACAATGTTGTATCTGGGGATTGTTCTACATTAAGTATTGAGTGTGTAGTTATTGGAAAAAATACTGTAAATCTAGAATACAGAGATGTTAATAACGATATTCCTAGTATAAGCTCTGGTTGTGCAATAGAGGTACCAACTATAATGAAAAGTAGAAAAGGTAGAGTTATAACGAAACCTCGTAGATTTAAGGATTATGTTGATTTTCATTCTGAGTCTGATTAATGTGTCTTTTGTAATTAGAAAAGGGGAGATGTTTGGGGTACATCCCTAGTTATTAGTTACATCACTAGTTGTTAAGATATAAAACTGATTCTTTAGAAAATGGTGGACGTGTTTTATTTAACAAATAACATAAAATGACCAATAGCACTTACCGGGCACACAACAGAGGGGTAAGTCTACTGAAGATGCTGGACTTGGTCTTACTAACTCAGTGGTGAGGCAACTTGACAATGGGTCTAAGGCTTTGGTATATTATTGGATCTCTCCAAGGCATTTGACACTGTCTCTGTCCCTTTACTACTTTCTAAAATTGAACGTTTGGGTGTGAGAGGAGCTGTACCGGATATATTTAAAAGTTATTTATCGAACCGAACCCAACAAGTTAAAATAGATGCTTATCTGTGTGAACCTGCTTGTCCTAGTTTTGAAGTCCCTCAAGGT